TGGAGAGCATGGAGGTTGATGCACAATCACCACATGTGTCGCCCTCTTTTCAAAGGCTTCACAAAGGCCCAAGGCCCTCCTCCTCCATAACAAGCATCCCTGAAGATGCAGTTCAAGATGACACCTCTGTTTCTCAAGAGGTCACGCATGAAGCCACTCCTACTAGCACCACAGTGGACGATGTTTCATAAGGTGAAGCCAATGAGGAAGTCAATGTGACTGACGCCAACGCTACTAAAGAATCAGCTCAATCTGAGGTCAATCTTGAACGCGCTCTGGTTGTCACCACTGAAGCCAATCAGCCTCCTGCAACTAAAGCCAATGTTGTTGCAAGGACACCATCACAACCAAACCTTTATCCGCCAACCTCTTTTTTGGGTCTTGATCCTTTCTACACAACTTTTTTGCCCTACATGGTCCTCGTTGTTTTTTGTAGGATTTTTGTGTCTTCTTTTGGCATTTTTTTATCCACACCCATTCATTGCTGTCAAGCTTCTCGCGCTGCCTATTTTCTTGGGCTATGATTTTGTGTGAAATGCTTCATTCTCTTGGTGTGCCAACTTGTTTTGACAAACATCTTCTCTTGATATTTGTCTTGTTTCTTCTACTGATGTGATGTCTTCCTCTGATGTCATCTTCTTCATTATCCCCTTTGGCTTGACTCTACAGGTTTTGAAGACTCTTCATGCTATGATAACACTCTCAAGACACCGATTTTGAATTATCTTTTTTTCTAGTAGTACACTTCTTCAAATGTGAATGTTATTGCATGCGCTCTGCATTTGAGGCAGGGGGTGTTAAGGAGTATCAGTATTTGTCTAGAAGTAGTTATTATGCTAAATTTCCTTTCTTATGCCTCAAGTTTTTTGTATTATACATTTGCTTTTTTTGCGAAAATATATATTTGCCCCATGGGCCTTGCAATACATCAAATTACATCCACAACAGTGACACACTCAGGACAAGGTGACATAAGATTAATTAGCTTATCTTTACAAATACTAAGCTCCCAAGAAAGGGAGCCTTGTGGTGAGGCTTTAGCATTATGTAAGATGTACATGTGTGGACCTACGGTGTACGCTAGTTGGGCCCTGAAAGCACAAGTGCTCCCTAGGTGATTTTGGTAATTAGTGTCAACATATCTCTTGTTGGACTAATACTTTTATCTAGTATATTTCAGATAAGTTCAACAATGGTGTGGTAAGGACAAGAGGATGTGGAACCCCTTCAAAATGCTAAGGACAAAGATTGACAAAAGCTCAAGACTCTTCATTTTCATTTTAGTGATCCAAGATCACATTGAGTCTATAGGAAAGCCAATACTATTAAAAGGGGATGAGGTCTTGCTTAATGGTCTACTTGCTCAAAATGCTTAGTGATATTGCTCCAAAACCCTCAGCCACTTTCTCATTTCCACATATGTCCAAAACCCAAAGTCAAACTCAGCCCCACCGATTTGATCTATCCGGCGCCACCAAGTTCTTTTGACATAGCCACTGCCAGAAAACCCTAGACAACTCGGTCACACCGAGATGGCCTTGCAAACTCTCTGTTGCATGTTGTAATTATTTCGGTCTCACCAAAATGTGCAATCGGTCCCACCGAGTTTGCTTGACTAACTCTCGGTTTGCTCTGTGCTGAAATCAGTCTCACCCAGTTCAGGCAATCGGTCTCACCGAGATGAGGTCTTTCCCTAGCCCTAGCACATCGGTCCCGCCGAGTTGATCCAGTCGGTCCCACCGAGATTCCTAATGTTCACATTTTGAACTAAATCGGTCTCACCGAGTTCTTCTATTCGGTCTGACCGAGTTGGGTCAAATGTGTGTAACGGTTCAATTTTGTGTGGAGGCTATATATACCCCTCCACCCCCTTCTCCATTTTTGAGAGAGCCATCAGAACGTGCCTACACTTCCACTACTCATTTTCTGAGAGAGAACCACCTACTCGTGTGTCGAGACCAAGACATTCCAATCCAACCACAAGAATCTTGATCTCTGGCCTTCCCCACGTTGCTTTCCACTCAAATCATCTTTCCACCATAGCCAAATCTGTGAGAGAGAGTTGAGTGTTGGGGAGACTATCATTTGAAGCACAAGAGCAACGAGTTCATCATCATCACACCATCTATTACCTTTTGGACAGTGGTGTCTCCTAGATTGGTTAGGTGTCACTTGGGAGCCTCCGACAAGATTGTGAAGTTGAACCAAGGAGTTTGTAAGGGCAAGGAGATCGCCTACTTTGTGAAGATCTACCTGAGTGAGGCAAGTCCTTCGTGGGTGATGGCCATGGTGGGATAGACAAGGTTGCTTCTTCATGGACCCTTTATGGGTGGAGCCCTTCGTGGACTTGCGCAACAGTTACTCTTCGTGGGTTGAAGTCTCCATCAACATGGATGTACGATAGCACCACCTATCGGAACCACGTCAAAAATCTCTGTGTCTTCATTGCGTTTGCATACTCCAATCCCACCCCTTTACTTTCTTGCAATTAGCATGCCTTACTCTTTCCGCTGCTCATATTTTTGCAATGCTTGCTTGAAATGTATTGTGAATGCTTAAACTAGTACTAAAACTCCACCTCAAATTGAAGAATTTAATGACTACCACTTTTGCTTGTTGAGGGTCTAATCACCCCACCCCACCCCCTCTAGACACCTCTTCTCGATCCTTTCAGGCCCACAGGTATGTGTGACGTGTGTATAAAGCCTGGTGTATCAAGTGTCACACTACTGGGATCTAGGTCGCATGGGGTGTAGGTAAGTAATTGTCCATGTGGTTGGCTCCTATCTAGAGTTGGTGGGGTTGCTACACGCTACTCTTTGCTAGATATGTGGTTGTGCCTAAGGAATTTAGAGTTCGTTGAAGATAGCACACATTCCATTCTAGACTTTGATGCTGCCTCTCCTCTCTTCCGCTCGGGAGAGCATTCGTTCGTCTACTAGCTGTGTCCCGGGCTTGTTGTCTACTAGCTGTGTCTCGGGCTGATCGTGTTCTGACCTTAGATTTGACAAATGCAGAAAAGGCACCCCTCTAGTAAAAAAACAGCAGAGAGAAGCTTGTGTGTGAGTTATTAGCTTTAACATAATAACAAAAATGTTTGTATTACACAGTCATCCATGCCACTGATCATGAAATTCCCTAACCCCAAACCTACACAAATACCTGGAATTTACACCACACCACCATCACCACAGGTATGTGTGACGTGTGTATAAAGCCTGGTGTATCAAGTGTCACACTAGTGGGATCTAGGTTGCATGGGGTGTAGGTAAGTAACTGTCCATGTGGTTGGCTCCTATCTAGAGTTGGTGGCGTTGCTACATGCTACTCTTTGCTAGATATGTGGTTGTGCCTAAGGAATTTAGAGTTCGTTGAAGATAGCACACAATCCATTCTAGACTTTGATGCTGCCTCTCCTCTCTTCCGCTCGGGAGAGCATTCGTTCGTCTACTAGTTGTGTCCCGGGCTTGTTGGTCTACTATCTGTGTCCCGGGCTGATCGTGTTCTGACCTTAGATTTGACAAATGCAGAAAAGGAACCCTTCTAGTAAAAAAACAGCGGAGAGAAGCTTGCGTGTGAGTTATTAGGTTTAACATAATAACAAAAATGTTTGTATCACAGTCATCCATGCCACTGATCATGAAATTCACTAACCCCAAACCTACACAAATACCTGGAATTTATACCACACCACCATCACCACAGGTATGTTTGACGTGTGTATAAAGCCTGGTGTATCAAGTATCACACTAGGGGATCTAGGTTGCATGGGGTGCGTCCATGTGGTTGGCTCCTATCTAGAGTTGGTGGCATTGCTACATGCTACCGTTTGCTAGATATGTGGTTGTGCCTAAGGAATTTAGAGTTCGTTGAAGGTAGCACACATTCCATTCTAGACTTTGACGCTGCCTCTCCTCTCTTCCGCTCGAGAGAGCATTCGTTCGTCTACTAGCTGTGTCTTTGGTCTACTAGCTATGTCCCGGGCTGATCGTGTTCTGTCCTTAGATTTGATAAATGCAGAAAAAGCACCCCTATAGTAAAAAAAACAGCGGAGAGAAGCTTGCGTGTGAGTTATTAGCTTTAACATAATAACAAAAATGTTTGTATCAGACAGTCATTCATGCCACTGATCATGAAATTCCCTAACCCCAAACCTACACACAAATACCTGGAATTTACACCACACCACCATCAATACAATTCCACAGCAATTAGACGCACAGTCTCAGCTTGTACGAATAAATACGAGTCCACAACAAACAAAAAATCGCTAACAAAATAAAAATGGCAAGCAGAGAAAAAAAAAGACCTTGAAAAATCTAGCCATGGGTGTCAGTATCTATTATCAATATTTCTCTTAAAAGGATTTCCCTTCTATATAAAGTATAATATTACAAAGGGGCAGCTTAAATATCATGGAGTTGAAATGTAAAAAGGGTAATAATCAACACTACATGAGCCTCCCTTTTCCAAGGTTGTTTCCTAAGACTGATTGACTGCTTCCCCGGCGATATGATCGCGTCTGCCCCTCCTCAACTTCCACCTTCCACAATGGAAGTTAAACCTCCAACATGGACGCTGATGTGACCATCTGTATGCGACCTAGAGAAAGTCAGTTAGCTTGACCGTTGAATCAAGATAGGGCGCAATAGTGCCCATATGTCATAATTCACACTTTCACAGGCAAAGAAGTTTATGCTCCCAACAAGATCCAAAAGAACCAATCTGCCATAAGGAATGTACAACAATAATGATGCCTCGTGTCTACTTTCAGATAAATTACGGTGCACTGAAACAGTATTGTAACGTTTGTTTCACTTATGATCACAAAAATGCAAAGGCTTTGCACAAATGGCGACTTAACCACCAATGGAAGTACTAGAAAAAAAATGCAGCTGCCAGTCTTGTAAGCTCCATGCTGTTTGTGCTAAAAACAACAGTGCTACTGAAATGCAATTAGAGAGCTGTGATGTCCTTGTAGTTGATACATACCTAAGGCATCATCGTCTGATTCTAGGCTTGCAACGGAATTCTGCTAAGAGTGCTATGTGATCTGATGACCATTCAGGTGAAGGGAGAGCAGTGTCTTTTCTTAAGTTCTCCTCATCCAGAAGCTCCAATAAAGACTCCACTGACAATGAATCCGCTGAAATAAGAAAGGAAACATGGCAACTGACAATCATCAAACATATCACGGTACTAAATGCTTATTCCAGAATAATGGAGATATCAAAAATGCAAACATAGCATACAAATACAATGCATCAGGCACCTACCTGTGTAAAATATGTAATCAACAGTACCAGTGAAATCTCTTGTGCAATTTGTGAAAAGTGGTTCATTTGTTGCTGAGTCCATCCTCCTCCGCTGGTGCTCCAAATCATAACCGACACCTACCATCCTTGCAAATGAAGAATATGCACTAACCTATAAACAAGTAAAACCTTTGGTCAGAACAGTTGAAAAGGAGAAAAGATAAACAAGCCATGGTAGTTTTACTGTACCAGAGGAAGCTGATGTGTCAGCTTGCTCACAGGGCGTAAAATTCCAAGGGGGTCAATGGCCAGATCTGGATGCAATTGATCAACTTTGCCTATCGCAAGAAGCCCGTGTGGAGTACTGAAAGGCAAAAGGAAGCACAAAGGGATTAAGAGTTGGAGAAAACAAATAAGTATGAAAAATATTGCTCCGATGGGATCTTGATACGCACCTCCCAGGGATTGAATTGAAATCCCCACAGACCAACATTGGAATGTCCGCACTGTTAGCTATCTTTTCCAATCCTTTCAAAAGTGTTTGAACCTGCAAAACCATACTTGCTGTTAATCTGAATATTTCAGATGTTGCCGAGTGCTAGCCTACAAATAATGTGATGATACAGACCTCCCATAGCTTGACATCTTTGAGATCTTGGTGGACATTTACATGTGTATTGGCCTGCAAAATGGAAACATTTGAGAAGAGTAAAAAATTGAGACACCCATAACATCAAAAGGCTTTCAAGCCTGGACCACTACCAATAATCACAGAGGTCAAGGACTAACATCATAAACTCAGCGCTATAAGGGGGAACTTGCAGTAAGATGCGCCTTTTACCAAGCACCCATCATTGACATACAGATGTTTCCATGCATCTCAACTTAGAGCATCTCCACTCATTCGGCCCCCCAGCGCACTGGCCGGCGCTTTTCTGGCCCTTCGGCCAGTGCTTTTTGGCCCTGGGGGCGATCTAGTTCCCAGCCACGCCCCCAGGTTTCGGCCCCAAGACGAGTAAAATTCAAACTTGACATTTCCCGCTACCCAAAAAAACGCCACAAGTTCGGCGATCAACGGCTGCCACATAGTTCGACGATCACCATGCCACAGTTCGGCGATCAATCATACTCGAAAGTTCGGCGTTCAAAAGGAAGGACGCGTAGGCAATGCATCAAATGGCGGCGTTGTCCTTCGGCGTCGGACTGGCGGGAGTCGGCGTGCGCGGGTTGGTCGGCGTCGGCACGGCTTCTGTGCTGGGCGTCGTGGAGGCATCATCGCTCGGGCTTGGCAAGCGGCGTTGGAGTCACCGTGGGAGTTGGCGCGGTCGTCGACGACATCTGGTTCAAGATGAGGCCGCGCTCCGCCAGGTACCACGCCTTGACCTGCTCGTCCATCGTCGACATGTCCGCCCCCATCAGGAATGCCAGGTCGGTATTCCTCTTCTTCGCGGCGACGTTGGTCAGGAGTAGGTCGAGCTTGACGGCGCTGTTCGTCATCAAGGCCGACCACCGCGCCTCGGATTTCTCTTCCCTTTGGGCGGCGTGGTTCTTGGCGCCGGCGATGCACTGCTCGATGGACGAGTGCAGCCGCTCGGTAGCCGGTGCGGCGTCCTTGGCCGTCTTGGCTCGTTTGTTGCCGTCAGGGCGCCCATCTGCCGCCCCCCGGCGTGGATGCGTCTGGTTTGTACGTCTCCTTGGCCTTGGCGAGGGTGCGCCGGACATCCGCCCACTTCTCGCACTTCTCGATCCAGGAGAACACGTGGAGGTCAGGTTGGTGATGGAAGCCTCCCGGCGTTGAACCTCCGCCTTCCAGTCGGCGCTCGACATGCCCGGTGGTTTTGCCGGCGGCGCCCTCGGTTTCCTCTGCTTCGGTTGGGTGGCATCAGCAAAGGCAGCGGCTCGAGGGGCCGTATACTTCTTCGGCGGCATGGCGGGATGGCGGCCGGATGGCGGGAAGAGGGAGGAGAATGGCGGGAGAAGAGGGGCAGAAGGGGGGAAATGGAGAGAAATGGTGGGGAAAAGCGGGGGATCAGCGGGAAAAGGGTTGTCTCTCGCCGACAGAGCGGACCCACGCGCCTTTTTGCTTCGGCCGGCGGCCCCAGGCCACCCCCGGGGGCTTGGGTTCGGCTCGGGTTCGCCGGCTGTTATTTCGGCCCAAACCGACGATAAACAAAGAGCCCTGTGGGGCAGGGGAGGGGGGGGGACACTTATTTTGGGACGGAGGGAGTAGTATATATACTACTTTATCCTTACATATATAAAACTTCTAATTCCTAAATGTGGTGACTAAACACGAAAAATAATGCCACGTGCTATTTTGCATTATACTGCTAGCAGTTCAACAGCTAAATATCTATATCTATACCAATATATAAAGACCCAAAGGGGCAGATCCAATTAGTCTCGGACGTCAAACCATGTCAATCCAATGACCTAGATTGCTCCAATGGTGAGCACTCAACATGTCTAGCGTGCAATTAATATCATACTCATATTTCTTTACAGAGTACCAAATATCATCACATAGTTAACGGGTAACTGATATCCTACCTAATATAAACGTGCAATTAATTTCCTCCCTAATATCAACGTGTATCGCACGTACACATTTATAGGAAAAGGTCCACTTTTGATCCGTTAACTATTGTCTTGGTTTAACACTTTAACATACAACCTGAACTTCAAAACTGTCTATTTTACACATCAACTATCTAAATGTTCAAATTCCGTCCTAAAGCAGTATTTGTGGGCGGTTTTGTGTGGCCTGGGATAAATGTCAACACGTTTTGCCACCTAATTCTCTACTGGGCACTTCCTTGGCCACTCTATGGCCTCCGCTATAGCTTCCGCTGCTCACAACTCTTTCATCACACCTCTTCTGTTTCAGGGACAGTGCTTTGACATGTGGGGAGCAGGCGAAGAGAGGATGGCCAAGGAGGAAAAAGTGTTAGTGTTACGAGCTAGGAAGGAGGAAAGGGAACAGAGAGCGCAGACAAGGATAGGGTAGAGAGAAAAGGGCGCTTCCCAAATAATGACTCTGACATGTGGGGCTACTGCTAAGTAAAGAATGAAGTGCCAAAGTTGATGATAAAGCGGCCTCCTCACCAGGCCCGTTGACAAGGGTGGCCAAAATTGGCCGATCGCACAGGGCCCCCAAATTTTTGGGGCCCCCCAGTCCAGCAGGCAATAGGTATAGGTCAGGCCCAGCACACGGTCCACTTCAAGGCCTGGGATCATGTGCTGTTTATTTCTCAGTGCTGAAAGAAAGACCCAACACACGATACTCCTGATTGGCCCATCAATTCAATCAGTCTGGATCGATTAGCGACCGATCAACCTACGCATATGCACGCACAAAATCAGCGCGCTAGTTTCCTGAATCACAACTGACTAGATCCATTAGCGATCTTATATTGCAGGGATTTGCTCGGCATCGGTGATTCGCGATTTGAGGACTCGGGCAGGGATGCAGGAGACTGCACGACAGCGGCAGGTGCAGGCAGCCATGCCCCACGGCACTCACTGACTTGTACAGTTGCACGGTAGCGCTGTCCGACGCTGAGCGGAACGGAATTAGCCAGCTCAAGCCCTTTCGTGCTTTTTCACATAATATGAAGCCTTACTAATGTAGGCTACTTCATTGTTGAATATATTTTTTAATAAGTATTAGAGCACTTTTTCCATCAGTTCATCTTATATCGGTTATGTTAATTTGGTTATTTCCATCTTTTGTGTACATGTGCAGTATTTTTCATCTTCTGCTTTGCAGTCAAATTGTTTGGGTTAGATAGTCAAGCTATCATGCATCCAAGATTTGTGAAGTAGTTGCTTCAAAATGAGGTTAGTTTATTAGTTTAGCACAAACTTTACTCTTTTAGCATTACTATTTGATATATTTATAATTATTGTAGTAAATAACATATATTTGAACTTATATAATTAAGTGAGACTAAATCTACTTTAGTTCTTCAGTTATATGATTTTTCTCAAAAATTTAGGGCTCTGTTTTACTTTTTGCTCCAAGCCCCCAAATATCTGGAGACAGCCCTGCTCTTCTCCAAACACCACTCGAGAACCCAGCTCCCAAACAGTCCTGAGAGTCTAGGGTGTAAATTGAACGGTAATGAAGTTGATAGACCAAAAGTAGACCTTTACCAATCATGCATATAAAAATGCCATATCTAGTAAGTGCATAGCTACTTTATACACATCTGAAGAAAGAAAGGTGATTGACGTACCACACAAAGGAGCTGTCTTTTACCAGGGTTTTCAGTTCCTTGGTTGCCAAATTTGGCTTCTAAGACCGCAATCAGTGCAATGTTATCCTTCAAACAGAATGTGTGATAATAAAAAGTCTGTACAGAATCCAATAGCATATAATCTCTTCTAAAATTAATCTTACTTTAATCAATCGATTTAAAGCCACCCTCTTTTGTGCAGGTGGAATAATCGCATCTGTTAAAGACTGTGCAGCCTTATTGAACTCGACCTACACACAAGCAAGTACAAGAAGTATCAGATAGCTGCAAATCAGCAGGTAGCTACAACGTACAGTGGAGGTACCTCATATTTCTTTACGTGTGAAAATCTGTCTCTACGGAAGAAAGTAGCACAGCCGTCAATGGCATGAGGAACTCCAGCATACACCTGTGACAACAATGAAGTAGAATCAAATAAGACAACGAAAGGTATCTAACCAATTTGTGACGATAAATTGCAACTCAAAGGTACCTCTGTTGTCCTTTTCTTGTAAAGTGCCTGATATCCATGTTTATCAAACTCAGGTGCAAAAAAATCCTCGAAGTGGTTCAATTGTACCTGAAATCAGTAGCATTTTGCTTAATTGTCACCTTTTATAATCTTAGGGCACTTCTCATTTTTAGCATTTTTAATATGCAAATTAGTTCAAATAAAGAAATCAATCATGCAAAGAAGAGAAAATAATCATAAGCACCTTCAAGAAAGAAGAAACTGTTCATAATGATCATGCCGAGATATTTTTGAAAGCTTAAACAACAGGCAAACTATAATAAATTCAAATCCAACGTCCCTATAAACAATGAAAACAAGTCACGACCCAAATGAAAAATGAAACAGGCTAACAAGAGTATATAAGAGACATTGTAGGTTGTCGAACAGAGTCGTCACGCGTAAGTACACCGGGATGCAATATTTTTATTATGCAAACAATTGAGACTTTCTCAGTTCATTAAATCAAATATATGATGCAACTAAAGAAGAAACATAGGTCACACAAAAATTAAATTGACAACAAAGGTTATCACATCATACCTCCTGAAGACATATGATGTCAGCATGATAACCAATAATTTCACGCATCAAATTTTGTCTCCGATAAGTCCATGAAAGAGCCCATGTTGGGCAGTAGCTATATGCATCGCTTGTAGCATATGCATCTGCAAGAATATTATAAGACAGCACTGTGAATGTTCCGAAAGAAGAACTCTGGCTGTCCATATCCAAGTGACCCAAAACATCTCCATTCACTTGGATAAGGCGGCGTGGAGTAGGGGTTGGTGCTGGAATCACACGTGACGTCATAATTGAAGTTGGAGGTCCTCCTGGTACTTTCTTTTCTGTATCCACCGCTGCACATTCAAATCTCAGAACATGGCCAATATCATCTGCAGTCGGTGTATATGTCTGTGAGCGTCCCACTTCGAACCAAGTTTCACCCGAGCTTTTGTCAGAGCCCGAGGGATACAAAGGAACAGGTCCATTATTAACACCAGGGCTCTGTCCAAGATTTGACATTGAGCCAGACCCAGAACTGAGAATCCCTGAACTACCACTGCCAAATCTACCAAATAGCTCCTCCTCTTCAGCTCCATTTTCATTTAAAGCACTACTAGCTCGCTCATGCAAAACCTTGTGGTGCTGCCACGCATCAGAGAAGCACTTAGCAGAACAATGGTAGCTCTTAGCAGCAGGTATTTTTGACTTGAGACAACCTAGACACTGGATTGTCGCTTGCTCCATTGGATGTACACTGCAGATAGCAACTTTCCGATCGCTTTGTATGCGGTACCTTCAAGAGAAGAGTCAAATCAGTATAACTATGTGTTGTAAGATACACAAAAGCTGTAAGATACCATGAAGAGAGAACAAGACTGGAAAAGTAAAGACACGAAAGAACACCTAAAGAGCTCATTTAAGTTGTATCAGCTCGTGGTAACTTGCTAACAGCACCTTGGATGTCAGTTTGTTAGGGCACTTTGGGAAAATACATTTTCTTCTCTATTCCTATAAAAGACTCGGTGATGATGGTGTGTCTGCCATCCGTCATTTCTGACCATTAGATCTGCATCTTACGGTTCTGATGTAAGTTGTGGCCTTTTTGCAACAATATCCCACTTCTCTGCTCCAATTTCTCTACTACTCCTATAAAAGACTCAGTTGGTGATGATGGTATGTCTGCCATCCGTCATTTCTGACCACTAGATCTGCATCTAACGACTGTGATGTAAGTTGTGCCTTTTTGCAACAATATCCCACTTCTCTGCTCCAATTTACAGAAAACCCCTTAGTATCTTGAAACCAACCACATTCCTCCCTTACCTCATCAAAACAGCCCAAGAAATATATTTTGAGTGAAACATAATATATTTTTAGTGAAATATGTATATCAAAACTAGACTGTTTTCTTTCAAATTTGTGAATATGTATTATTCTATTTTGGATCCGTTGCAACGCATGGGCACATTGCTAGTTTTTTATAAATAATGAGGCAAGATGAAGAAAATTGGCAATACATCAGGGGGAAATTTCAAGTTTTCTTGTGCATGTGTTTTTTCTATAAAGGGCACGTTTATTAACTCAAAATGTAGCATAAAGCGGATACAAAGCATGATGAGCAACTTCTCAAAAAAGATCATAAATGTACACTGTTGTAACATGGACAACAGCAAAAAAAGATCATTCAACAATATGATCAAATAAACCCTGCGTAAAAAACACAACAGATAAATTGATTTCTTTTATAATACAACTACAACCACTTGTAATTTGCGCACAGGACAGATTTCTTATCATATTTTTGCACGATTTTTTGATGATGCACAATTGTATATATTACATGTGGTTCTGTCAAACTAGCCACTGAAAAGCAAACAAAATGAAAGCATACAAAAAAAGATTTGGTGGGCAATACTAATATTTTACTCCCTCCGTCCCAAATTACTTGTCGCAAAAATGGATGCATCTAGACATATTTTTAGTTCTAGATACATCCGTTTCTGCGACAATTTTTGCACAATTTTTTGATGGTGCACAATTGTACATATTACATGTGGTTCTGTCAAACTAGCGACTGAAAAGCAAACAAAATGAAAGCATACAAAAAAAGATTTGGTGGGCAATACTAATATTTTACTCCCTCCGTCCCGAATTACTTGTCGCAAAAATGGATGCATCTAGACATATTTTTAGTTCTAGATACATCCATTTCTGCGACAAGTAATTCGAGGCGGAGGGAGTATTTGGTTAAAAAAGAAGATTTGGTTTGTGTTGTAGCAAAATAATATTTTATTTATCTTAAAACACTTATAACATATATCTTAGCAGTGTAACATAGTGACTAGTGAGTTTATTGTAAGTAAATTTGAAGAACTGACATAATGTGTCAGTGTTCTAAAAAATTGTCTATAGGCAGTGTACGAGGAAGCGGCTAATAAAAAGCAAACCAATGAAACTACTTGTGTTAACGGACTAGCTCCGCTATCTTCATAAGTCTGCAATACTAAATTCTCAACATACAGCATCCAATTGATGCAATTTAGCATTGTTTATAAGGCGACCTAAGGCGAGCACCATCCGCCCTGATGCCTAAGCGCCTAAGGTGGACGCCTAAACGCCTAAAGCGGGCACACTTGTAAGGCACTGGGCGCCTTGCTGCCTAAGCGTCGGCTAAGCGTCAAAGGTGGGACGCCTTATAAACAATGCAATTTAGACCTACTTGACATGACAAACAATGGACATGATGAAATGAATTAACCATCCAAGCAAGAGTGTAATGAGTAATGCACAGCAATATTATATACATTCAATAACAGGTAATCGTCCGGACACCCAGCTGGCAGTGATTGTATTGCCAATTGTATATGTGGCATACGCACAGCTTGTAAGCAACAGGTAGGGCACCGCATCCTCGTACACTGCCTATAGATCATTTTTTAGAACACTCAAGCATTATGTCAGTTCTTTAAATTTACTTACAATACATTCGCTATGATACACTGCTAAGATATATGTTATAAGTGTTTTTACATAAATAAAACATTAACTAGGACAGTGCCTACGCGTTGCAACAGGATATAAATATTCTACTACATTAGCTTGTGATTTACCTGCCCATATTAATGTGATGGTGTAAATAAATATTCATCAAATCCTGCCATGATTTACCTTATAGTTTGATGAGAAGTTTGGTAAGTAAACTGAAGTGGAATTGGTTCATAAGGTAAGTAAATTGAGATGATTGATTGTCATATGGGGAGGGTTGGACGGAGGGGTGGTGGGAAGAGAAGTGATGAAAGATGGAACCTTACATTCTTTTTAAGTAGTAGGGGTAGAGATTTGTTACAACAAAGGGTGTGGGAGTAACAAGGCCAGTAAGAGATCAAACAAAAGAGAAGGACACGTGTAGTCAACAAAACAAAAATAATGGAATGTGTGTTCAATCTCTCACTAACCGTAAGCAAGTAAAGTAACTTGCAGCTGAACCTAATATGCTACCAATTTTAATATGCAGTACTTCAAAAGAAGTACATATAATAATCCTTTTTGAGCTCCAGAGGCGTCAAAATTCAGTGCACAATCAAGCAGCCTCTTTGTTCAACAAGTGCTGTTCAGCTCAAGGATTGTATCACAGTCTAAGAATCATGTGACCCCAAGTGGACAAACTGATAGCACTTGTGGAATAGCTATCTCTACAAAATTATTTATATGATCCAGTGCAATCCCAAAATTTTACAATGCTCCCATTCCACCCAAGATGGATAGGACCATTATTGCCCAATGATTGATAGCATTCTACAAGTCAAGCAGGCTTCATCTCCATTACGACTCTTACGATCCTATCTAACTGTCCAGAGCTGTAAGCACAACCAAAATCAGACCGCATATTGACTTGCTCGATGAATTACTCAGGTATTCTTATAACCATTCTGCGTTATCCCATGTGGTGGCTTAATATATCATAGACTCAATAGTTTTATCTGTAAGTGAGTCAAGATACAACTTCTGAGTCCTGAAAACTGTACTACGTCTCCAACTCAACAATCAAGTTATGTCTCAAAGGCAACCATTGGCATTTAATATTCTCTGTGTTTCCATTCATTTACAAAAAACACAAAATTGGCTTGTTAGAGCAACCGATGCTCCGAATTGTCCAGAGCTCTAAGTGCAACCAAAGTCAGACAGCATATTGACTTGCTCGATGAATTACTCAGTTATTCTTATAACCATTCTGGGTTATCCCATGTGGTGGCTTAACATATCATAGACTCAATAGTTTTATCTGTAAGTGAATCAAGATACAACTTCTGAGTCCTGAAAACTGTTCTACGTCTCAAACTCAACAATCTAGTTACGTCTCAAAGGCAACCATTGGCATTTAATATTCTCTGTTTCCATTCATTTACAAAAACACGAAATTGGCTTGTTAGAGCAATCAATGCTCCAAATTGACACGGTTGTGCTTCATATATTCAGGAACTAAGAACAGAACTTTCCTGAGTTTAGCAAGTAGTTAAGCATATAGCAATCTGATCAATACTGAAAGACCCTTCTTTTAACAGAATTAACTAGTACTAACGCACAAGCGGAACTAATCATTCCACAATGCATATCCTATTGAACCAAAAGTCAGAGTCACGAGCTGCTCGCTCACCATCTGTATCGCATGAAGTGACCATCAACAGCCGCTGTCTCAGGTACGTCTTCGGTGGAGATGGCCCCATTGGGCAGACGCAGCAGCACATAAGGGGTGATCTCACACCCCACAATCGGGATCTCCGACGGCAGGTGCACCCGTACCACGCTCAGCATCCTCCACCCCTGCTCCTCCTCTGCTGCGCTCTTCTCCACAGCCCCAGCACTAGCACCAGCACCAGCACCAGCACCAGCTCCAGCTCCTCACAGGGGCGGGCTTAACACGGGGCATGGGGGTTCAGTTGAACCCCCAATTTTTTTCTGAAAATAAACTGTTATTAGTAGTATAATTCGGGATCTCGAAAATTGTAGTCCTGGTTCCGCGAAATGGAGACCAAAATACATGGGTGGGCGGATGCGCCCGCCGCGCCTTCATAGTCCACCCTACCGATGGGATGGAACGGGGTTAACTGAGACAAATCTCGCATAAAGGGATCTGGCTGGATTCGATTGCTCGCGTCCAAGAGGAGACCGGAGAAGAAGAAAAAACAAAGAGCAGTCCCAGCAAAGCTAGGGCTTCCTTACCAACAAAATGAATCGCGTCGAGCCACGCCACACCAGCAGCTGCAGAAGGGATCGGAGGAGGAAGATCAGGAGAGAACCGCGCGAGCTCCTCCGCTTCGAGATGGCAGGCGCGCTTCGGTAGGAGGGGGAGGGAAGGGGTTTCGGCGGCGAGGGACTCCGGGATGGTGCGGTGGATTTGGGAGCAGAAGCATACACATTTTTTTTAGGACATGCTTCATCACTCCTTCTCTCCTTGGGCCGAGCCCATTCTCCATTCTCGCTTCTCATTTTCTTTCATGCAGCCACATGTTCCGCCCTAATGGCCCATCGTCACTGCCTTGTTTTTCTTTTCACGGGATTGTGACTGCCTTGCTTTTTTTTCTCTTTGACTATAAATTGCCGTCGTTGCAACGGGAGTATAAACATTCTAGTAGATTAGCTCATGATTGCACGTCTATTATTACATTGATGCACTAAAATCTTAGAAAAAAAATTCTATGCAATTGCCAGGATTTATTCATCATCTTTAGCTAAGCACTTATTTGGCAAGAATTTACTGACTTATCAAAAAAAATAGTATTTCTACTACTTGAAAGAGAGATGGAGGAAAATGTCGTCCTATTATGAAGCACTTATTTGATAAGAATTTACTAACTTACCAAAGAATATATATTGATTGATTGATATATTGATGGGGGCGAATGTGTCCCGTCTTTCGATGAGATGGTAACTATCATTTTTGGTGGAAGCCGATTTTGAGGATCCGACTACGAACGTGTGAAGATGTCGCGCCTTAGCAATTGCTAAACCAACTCCGAAAGGTTATTGACCACGCCGAAGCACAATCAACCTGACCATGAGGGTCTGTTTACTGCAGTCAAACGAAAAATAAGTAAGAAACTCAGATTACAATCTAGATATTGCGAATTTAAGAGGGAATCTTTATTGATTAAGGTGGGGTTCTAAAACGTCTTGGCCTGGTCGTTAGACATAAACAATGTACGCGCGTTTCACTATGGCGAACTTTAATCTAAACAAAACAAAGTCTAAAATGACGCCCCAAGGGTTGTATTTATAGGGGAGACAAAGGGGATTTTCGTCCACCCTTAACAAGATGGGACTAAATTTTGTCCCAAGTCGTTTTCCCTATTACTACAGACTTTAAAAACAACCTATTAAGTGTATTTTAAAATTACATGGGCCTGGCCCAAAAATTAGGTGGTGCGGCACCTATATTAAGTTATGGACGAAATTTATGAAAGGTTATCTTGTATATTTCATCCATGTCTTGATATGCCATCATGGTGGCTTCAAAGTGCTGAAAACTCCACCATAAACTCCGTTCTTGTTCTCCTTATGCGCGCATCATCTTCATTCTTAATCATGCTTCAGTGTTTATCCTTCTTGATAGATGCTAAGGTGCCCCATCTTTCGATGAGATGGTGGCTATCATTTTTAGTGGAGTAGACTTTGATGATCTGACTATGAATGTGTGAGGACGTCGCGCCTTAGCAATCACTAAACCAACTCCAAGAGGTTATTGACCACGCCGGAGCACGATCAACCTGACCACGAAGGTCTATTTCCGGCATACAAACAAACAACAAGCAAGAAATTGAAATTGTAATCTAAATATTGCGAATATAAGAGGAAAGCTTTATTATTGAAAGTGGGGTTCTATGATGTCTTGGTCTTGTCGTTGAACACAAACAAAGGACGCAAGTTGCAGCTATGGAGAACTCTAATCTAAACAAACCCAAGTCTAAACGGCGCCTTAAGGGTTGTATTTGTATGGAGGGAGAGGGGATTTCGTCCACCCTTGGCAAGGTGGGACTAAAACACCTCATGAGTCGTTTCCCCTATAATACGGGCTCTAAAACCAGTCTATGAAGTAGTATTTCGAAATTACATGGGCCTGGCCTAAAACTAAGGTGATGCGGCACCTAATATAAGCTATGAACGAAATTTATGATATGGAATCTTGTATATTTCTTCCATGTACTTGTATGTCATCATGGAGGCTTCAAAGTGCTGAAAACTCCATCAGAAACGTTGTTCTGATTCCCTTCGTGTGCGCCTTCATCTCCATGCTTGATACTGCTCCAGTGTTCATCCCTCTTGTCCATGTTAGTCCCTTCATTAGTAATCAACACAAACGTATCTATTTTAGGTAGCATCATATTCTCATGAATATTGGAATTATTCCCAAGAAACAAAAGTACCTGATAATTTAACTGGCGTGCGCGAGCTCTAATAATTGGTCTAGTATGTGTGGTGACAGGGGCTATGGGTGTAACTATGGTATTGATGTCCTCATCATCCTCCCCTTCTTGAAATGAAGTCGTCCTCGGCGGAAGCTCATCTTGCTCACCCAAATATGGCTTCAAATCTACAATGTAAAAAGTGGGACTAACCCCAAAATCTACAAGCAGCTCAAGTTTATATGCATTATCATTTTTTTCTCTAACACCTTAAAAGGATCATCAGCATGTGGCATTAACTTTGACTTGCGCAAATCAGGAAACCCATCCTTGCGTAAATGTAACCAAACAAGTTCTCTAGGTGCAAAGACAACATGTTTTCTATCCTTATCTCTAGCAAGTTTGTACTTAGCATTCATACGATCAATGTTTTCCTTAGTTAACTCATGCATTTTGAAGATCAATTCATCATGTCGTTTAGCATCAAAATTAACCTTCTCTGAAGATGGAAGAGGCAACAAATTAATGGATGCACAAGGTAGAAAACCATACACAATTTCAAAAGGGCACATCTTAGTAGTAGAATGCAGCAAACAATTATAAGAAAATTCAATATGAGGCAAGAATTATTCCCACATTTTAAGGTTATTCTTCAAAATAGCCCTAAGAATAGTAGACAAAGTTTTATTGACTACTTCAGTTTGTCCATCAGTTTGGGGGTGACATGTAGTAGTGAAAAACAATTTTCTCCCCAACTTAGCCTATAAATATCTCCAAAAGTGGCTAAAAAATTTAGTATCACGATATGAAACAATAGTATTTGTCACACCATGCAAGCGAATAATTTCATGAAAAAACAAATGAGCAACATTAGTAGCATCATCACTTTTATGACATGGTATAAAGTCTGCCATTTTCAAAAGTCTATCCACGACAACAAATATGATATCCCTCCCCTTTTTTGTCCGAGATAAACCTAAAACAAAGTCCATAGATATATCCTCCCAAGCAACACTAGGTACAGGCAAAGGCAAATATAACCCATAAGGATTGAGTCGTGACTTAGCTTTTTGACATGTATTGCAGCGAGCAACAAAATGCTCAACATCCCATCTCATCTTTGGCCAAAAGAGATGTGTAGCAAGTACGTCATGCGTCTTCTTCACATAAAAGTGTCCCACTAATCCTCCTCCATGTGCCTCCTACAACGATAAAAGATGAACGGAGCTAGCTGTAATGCATAGCTTGTTACCATGGAACACAAATCCATCATTAACGACGAACTTGTTCCATGTTCTCTCTTCTTTACAATTTTGAATTACATTTTTAAATTTAGCATCATGCACAAATTGATCTTTAATGTTCTCCAAACCAAATATTTAAAAATTAATTTGTGAAAGCATAGTATAGCAACGAGATAATGCATTAGCAGTAACCACTCCAAGAAAAAGACACATCTGTGACATTTTGGGCCAAACGAATTTTTTTCTGTCATACTTATGACACTTCTATGACGATAATTATGACAAAACCCAGTATCATCATAGATGTGGTGGGCTCCTACTTCTATGACAAAAAATCATGACGGAAAATGGGCTTTTCATCCTGGGCGGGCCTGAGACGCACCTGCATGACATTCTTTGGGCTATCCATGACGGAAAAAATCATGGTAGAAGCGAGGGCGAGGAAAATTTTGGGGAGTTCCCGATTACGGTGGGTGGTCGGGGCCGAGCAATGCAGGGAGGTTTGCGCGTTTCTCTCATACACGTAAGCGCATGTGTGTGAGGCCTTGCGATCTAACTGAACCCGAGCAGGTGTTGGGCTCTAACTGAACCCGAGCGATTGCACTAGCTACGTTACTGAACCCCGATCGATCCCTTGCTGTTAATTGAACCCGAGTGTTTCCTTTGCTACTGCTGCTAACTGAAGCCGACCGAACCTGCTGCCTCTTGATGAATAGTAAATGTGGGGGTTGGTTGAACGAGTCGAGACATACATGGTTGGGGTTGGATGAACAGTTCCCGGTGGGGGTTGGATGAACAAGTTCCCTTGGTAGTAGAGGTCGTTGCCGCTGGATGAACAGGACCCCGATCAAGGAGGTGGGAGTGGATGAACAGTAGCCGGCGGAGGGAGCCCGTGGAGGGCTGGTTGAATAGGACCCCGTGGAGGGGCTGGTTGAACAAGACCCCGTGGAGGGCTGATTGAACAGTAGCTGGTGGAGGCTGGATGAACAGGACCCCGTGGATGGCTGGATGAACAGTAGCCGGTGGAGGCTGGAGGAAGTCGACGTTGGATGAACAGTAGCAGGTGGAGGCTGGAGGAAGTCGACGATGGATGAACAATAGCCCGTGGAGTCTCATTTGCGGTACGCCACACCCCTCCTGATCAACAGGACCCCCGTTTCGACCATTG